AAAAGAAATAAAGAATATATCAAAGCTAAGAATAAAATAAAGACCCAAGTTGAAAATAACAGATTACAACAACTCGGATTAACGGAAAATCTACTACTCTATTTCAACCCATATTAAAATCTCAAGAGGATATTAAAAAGAGACTCATCCCTCCTATAGAACACCCACCTCCTATAGAACCTCATCACCCAGATCCGAATCCATATGGTGGTATTATAATTAGACATTAGATGATATTAATAGTCTTTTTTCAAACCCTAAAGCAGATTTACCAGAGAGTTTCACCAATCACATAGGGGTTATTGTTTAATGGATTTAAAATAAAATTTAGGGCAAATTCCCCGATATTCAAAATTGATACAAAAACACTTAATATTTACATTAACGAGAGGATTAATAGATTTAATGAATGGTGGGTATATTGGCATTGCCGATTACAAGGATTTACTAGCATACTCAAAATTTCTACATGTAATAAGAAAGTCGGGACCCGAAACAAGAAGATCGAAAGCAGTTGAAACATATTTAGATAAAGTTATTCCTGATGAATATGAAGATGATGAATCAGAAGAGGTATCAAATGATTATGCATCAGATTATACACCAATCATACAAGAAATACACGATTTCGATGATATGGTGGCATCTGGACAAGGTATAACTTTTTTATCCGACAACAACGAGGAAATACTTAATAGATTACGAGTAATATTAGCGGCAATGAAGGAAGGGCATCGATCGCACAGACAATATAATGAAGTGAATTGTATACTAAAAAGACTCCTAGAAAAAGGTATCATAGATAAAAATGATTATAAAAGCGTGATTAAAAATGTCAAATAAAGAACAACTATTCGTTATCACCTCAAATAAATCAGACATTAAATTATCTCTAGATTATGAGTACGAACTCGATCGCAATCAAGAATATGAATTGGGATTAAAGTATGTCTCTGTTTAAAATTCCATTAGAAATATCAACGAAAAAATAATCAAATAAAAATATCAACAGATAATGGATTTCGGGGAAGGGAAAAATTGATATTAAGAAATAATAGTCAAGTTGATTTCAACGTAGAAAATTCATTGAATGCTTTACTAGGATTTGATAAACAAATATACACGCAATCCGCTTTAGCACCACACAAAGCTAATATCGAGAATGATATCGTAGTGATAAATATACATTGCAATTTGATAAACGGTGGATTTTTTAATAAATACAAACGTCAGATTATTTACAGTCTTCAACATTCACTGTACCGATAGGATATAGATTTCGGGGAAGGGAGGGTTTGATTCTCCCAAATGTACAGGCCTAGGGTGGAGCAGACACTTTATTTAGAAATTAGGATTAAGGGTCTTGATATTGGGTTTTCTTCTGTTCTTATACTGATCTGAAATTAGAAAAAATAAGTATAGTATCTGTTATGTACTGATTGTTTTTAGTTTACTATGAACAATATTATCATTTAAGTTCTTATTTTTTGAATATGCAACTATCATTTTCTGCTTTTAGACATGGGGGAATTTCTCTTGAAGGCACTTATAGTGAGCATGAACTATCTTCCTTGCTCGATTGCCGGTTGTATTAAACGGGACAACAAAGGGTGCTATGCCTACATTATGATGAATATTTAGTCCTTTAGGTCTTGCTGTATTCAATGTCTCAATCCAATTGGCTTCCCTAGATTGACGGAATTTGGTAGTTTCATCTTCGGGCAAGTCAATTTCAATACGCTCAATTGGGATTAGGGCGAGATCGTCTATTGAATGGCCGTCGAGGTTGAAATGATTAGAAACAGGCTTGTCTTTCTTTAATTTGATGTCTGACCTATGAACATTAAAGCGAGTTCGTAAATTATTCTTAGTTTCTCCTACATATTGTTTGGGGCATTTCTTGCATGAAATTAAATATATTACATTCGAATGTTCACATGTTAGATGTTCCTGGATCGGGTACCTTTTAATCGTAGAGTTGCTTACAAAATAATGAGTTTCTGATATAAAGAGACATGTTTTGCATCTACCGGACAAACATGGAGCACTTCTTAAACCTGGAGGTACTTCGGCATAAAGTCTGTTTTAGCTGCTATCTGTGCTAAGGTGGAATTTTTTATGTTTCGTAAAAATCGTTTAGAGTACCAACGCTCTTTCAGTTTTGAGAAAACAATCGTACAGGCTTGGTTGAAATCAGAAGATCTTGTACAAATTCGATGAAATCGTAAAACTTGTGACTTAATTATACCAGAAAAGGTATGTTTTGGGTGAAAGGAGCTCTTGTGCAAGAGTTGATGAGTATCAGTTTCTTTGAAATACACTTTAATATCCAGTTTATTTGTTTCTGCTATGGAATCTCCCTTAAAGACTGTGGTATCGAGAAAGTCTATGCTTTTGTCACTCACGTTTGCGGTTAGTTTGATAGAAGGATGGTGGTTGTTGAGAATTTCAAAGAATTCCCGAAACTGTTCGATAGAATAAGTCCAAACCATAAAAATGTCATCCAAAAAGCGTCAATCAGGTTTGGCAGACAGATAGTCATATTGTTTCTGTTTGAGATAACTAGTTTTGACTAAATCGGCAAGAATATTGTTAATCATGTTAGCAGTTTCTTTGAAAATTGGTTTCGGTAAAATGGCATAATGTTTAGGATTATTCAGTTGATTCTCTGCTTCTGAAACGTAATCCTCCCTATTCAGAATAACACAACATGAACCTTTGTCACTCTTTTTAATAACAATGCTATCGTCTTTCTTAAGTAAGTTTAACGCTTCACGTTCCACTCGTGTGAGATTAGGCTTTTCGTGTGTTATGGAAAGGTTCACTGTTTGGCTATTCATACTCGCAAATGCTTTCAATATTTCAGAATGGATGGCGGCCTGAGGGGGTGTCCACGTGGATTTAGGAATAAACATTGTTCTAGCACCACGTGGGGGGTGGTTTCGAAAAAAATATGTGCAGCTAAGATTTCGTTAAAATCGTTCAATGGATGGTCGGAGATAATTCAAGTTAGCTATCATTGGTGTGAGAATAAATTTAAGTCCACGGTCTAAGATTGAATGCTGAAGGGGTGTGAGAATTTTGCGGCTCAAGTTAACTACAGTTTGGCCTAGCGGTGGCCTCTCAGTATTTTTATCCCCAGTACTTAGTTTAAAGACTTACTCGATGCTTGAAGCTGGGGTATCCAAAACAAATAAATGCTGTTTGCTGTTTCTGGAGACCAATGAAGATTATCAACTGGTTACCCTTTATTTCTTTCTGTCTTTTCCATTTTTTCTGTAAATCTTCATCGGTGAATGAATTAGTTATAAACTATAAACGTATAAACAATCATCGTGAATGGTTGGAAAAACGTTTAGTTTTAGAGGTGAAACTTGCGTTATCGCATTATCATCTTCACAAGTTCTCCATACGTTTTCATCGTAATTATCTTCTATTTCTGTAATGCCTAAGGTTTTGTTATTTCTTCTAATGAGACAGAAATGTGATTTATGTAAGTAAAATACCCAATCTAATTCTTCGGATACTTTCTTTGGTTGAAAATGTCTATGTTTGGGCATATAAATTTGAAAATAAGTATTAAATTTCTTATTGAATTCACAGATTCTAGCAGTTGTCATAACTCCTTTTCTGTTTGATTTTGAAAAACTGTTCGTGAAATCTTGAAATTCTCTCGTGTAGTCTTCGTTTAAAACACGATTGACGCACTTTACAAAGCAGTATCCATTGGTTGGTATATAACAATTTATAGCGCTATATTCATTGATCTTTTTGAGTAGGGTAACACCACTACCCTTTTTTGATCTTTTATTTCTTTGAAATTGTTTTTACGTAAAATCATTTTTCCTGTGAAATACCAATCAGAAGCATCCGATTTATTATCCACTGTTGCGAAGAAATTGCGAAAAGTTTTGGCATTAAAGCCTACAAATTGCATGTATTGTTTGTGTCCTCCCATCTTGAATTATCTCTCCATCTAATTCAATTTGGCCTTTAAATGTTAAAAATTCATGAGTGATAAGCTTAATAACATTGGAAAAAAGTTCATTTGATATGAATTCTTCATCGTCTAAAAATTTCAATTTTATTCATATGTTTTAAGCAACTATTTTTAACTAGGAATTTTTAACTTTTATTGATGATATTTCGACATCAAATTTATCTAAAATTTCATTGAATTTTTCTAATTCTTCAATGGTTATGTTCTTATCTTCTCTTGATCTTTCGAAAAAAATGAATAATTTATTAATTAAAATTAATTTAAAATTTCTGTTTTCTTTCTATAATGAGCTTTCTTTTTTGATGTAAAACCTAAAGTAATAAATCCACAAGATGAAGTTTGAACGGCAGTGAACGCGGCTAATACAGTTGGGACAATTATTGGAAGCATTAGTCCACCGGTTACGTAACGGCTGTTGCCATCGTTATCCCTACTGTTAAAACTGTACTTGAATGTTTTGAAAACACAATCGATTCTACTCCACGTTTTCCTGCATTTGTTGAATTGTTTTAGTTTTTCTTTTAGTTCGTTTTGTTTGTCTATCACATATTGTTGTCTACTTTCGAGTTTTTTAGGTAATTAAATTAAATGAATTTCTGATAAACCAAAATATGGAAAGTGTTTAATATCTACAATAGGATGCCTAGTAAGAGCACCACAAGGGATTATTTTTTCATTATCTGTTATAATTATTTCAGGTTTAATAATAAAAACTTCTACACTAACAAACGATATTTGTTGTTTCGAATCATTAATCTTATTCAGATGAACTGAAAATTTTGGTTTTTCGATATTGATTCTTATCATACATCTACAAGTATGTATACCTCCAACTTCTATTCCATAATTTCATTCAATTATTGATGAAAATATTAAATTTTTTTTAATCTTGTTGATTTTTATGAATATCGACTGAGGTAAATAAATCAGTTGAAGAGCTATCTTCGTGTGAATAACTGTTATTAACAAAATATAGTTTTACAAATTCAATGCCTGATGTTCATAAAAAGTCATAACTGGGTGATGTTAGTTCTTTTTGTGGTTTTGGATTTTCAATAAGACTTTCCGTTTCAAATATCATATTAAATTCACTCAATGAAAGATCGTCTTCTTCATTATCTGGTACGATTAACATTCTAAACCTATCTATATAATATTTTCCACTCGTTTTAATTTCATATAAGTGATTAACCTTGTTGTTTTCGTTGTTACTTTCATATTCTTTATATTCTACATTTTTGTCTCTATCATTTATAAACTGAAGAACTTTTTGAGCGTTAAATTTTTTAGATAAACGAAAGTTTTGTCTGAAGAATGTTGTTTCAACTTTTACCTGAAAAGGAAAAGTTATTTCAATTGCAAGTTTTCCTTTAAAGAAGTAAAAGTTGATGGATAATCACCAAGAAACATATTAAAGGAATTACCTTCAGGAGTTGATCAATATTATCAGTAACAGAAGCATACCTAATACTCAATCTTCCAAATGGAAGAGTAAAATAATATGATTTATTTCCTTCCTTGAGATACTTTTTTTCTAATGCGACTTTATTTTTGTCCTGTTTCAAAACTAGGTTATTAATAGTGGTTATCTGTTGTTGAATAACACTATCATCAATGTTCTGTATTTGTTGTTGAATATAGGTTTTGATTTCGCTATCATCAATATTTTGTATTTGTTGCTGAATATAGGTTTTGATTTCGCTATCATCTATGTTTTGTATTTGTTGTTTAATATTTGTTAGTTCTTTTTGTAATTCACTGTTAAGTTTAGTTTCCAGAGCATTTAATTCCTGTTGAAATCTTCATTTTCATCTGGAATGTTATCTATTAATTGTTGAATGTCTAATTTTTGTTTTGCAATCTTATCCTCTAATTTAGATATTAATGAAATTAAATTTTGTAACTCAGTTTTATTCGCAACGTCGACCAATTCTTTTTGAATAAAACTTATTAAACCTTTTACCTCTTGTTGTAGTTTAGTATCATTAACAAAATTTTTAATATTTAGTTGACGTTTGAAGAATCGTTTCACATCACATCAATGGTTTTTATTTACTTCAATTGAATTTATTTGTTCCCGAAAATATTTCTTGTGAACAGCGTCATTATCGTTTTCCGGAGACTTTAAATTAGTTACTTTGAAATTGTTCATATCTAAATCACCTTGAAGAGTGTCTCCGATTTGATCCACAAAGTAAGGTTTCGCTTTATTTATCCACGCTGTGGTGTTATGTTTTTTAGTTTCTAAACCTAATCCAAACTCGTTCGTCATTTTTATTGAGTTAAATTTATTACAATTTCTTCAAACTGTTTTCCTAAACTCAACTGATATAAAACCCAAAGTGAAGCTGTCCACAAAACTTCTGTCCCGGTAATTGAATTTGAAAGGTAGAACATTTGATTGGTTTATTAGTCAATTCCACTATCTCTCCAGTGGGTTCTAATCCATAAGAATCGAAGAAATATAAGTCATTTGAAGAGTCTTTGTACAAAGCAGAATGATGAACTCCTTTTTGATCGGAAATATGTATATTTGTTATAGCGTAAAATTTACCTTTCTTATATTTCAGATCATTTCTTTCATCTCTCATACAATAATAAAACGGAGATATATTTAACTCATTCGCCCATCTCATAAGTTGAAAGTTTGTGGTTGTATCGTTTCCATATTATCGAGAAAGATACTCATTTTTTAAGTTCGTTTTGATAAAACCTACCTATGATTTGTTCTTTGTCTTGATCGATTAATTCATATGTCGGAGGTGATGAGGTGTTTACTTTATCAACGATAAATATTTCGTTAGTCCAGTATGCAACGTAACCTTTTTCGAATTTGCTTTTATATTTGAAAATACGAACTCGATCTCCGACTTTAAATTTGGGTTTGATATTTAAATTCAATATTTCATTTTCGTAGTTATGTTGCGCGTTAATTGACTTTATAATATTTGGATTACTCGAGGCTTGTGTTGGTGTGACACCTATCGATGAATGAATTTTGTTATTGTATTCATCTACAACCTCTGGTAATATTTTAAGCCATTTTTGAGATTTCAATTCCGTGAACTTTTTGAATAATTTATTTTTTAGAGTTCTATTATATCTCTCAATAACTACAGCTTTACCTTCATTATGCGTGCTGTAAATTTCAAATCTCAGAGATTTCATATTTTTGTTATAAAATTCACTTCCTTTATCTACCCACAGTTTTTCTGGATGACGGTTAGATTGTTTCAAATGCGTGTTTGACTGATAATCCCGTTTTATCATTTGTCTGTCTGCTTCGTGTCTGAAGTTTATGTCTTTATTTCTGTATAGTATGTCGTGTTTAAGCGCAGCGGCGTCAACTCTATTGACTGGTTCTTCCCTTGGTTTGGGTTTATCGTTTTCGTCTACTCGCAGATCTAACCTAGTACCGGGACCAGTGTAATTATGACCGGGAAGATGTTTTTCTCCGGGATATTTCGCCCATCGAAAGCCAGGAAGAGAACCCAATGATTTTGTATATCTGAACCAAAATAAGTTTTTGGAGCGTGAGTGACTATCATTTTTATCCTATATCTTTAAAATCTTTTCCTTTCCTTTCTTCTAATCTCCTGTTTCGAAGTTCTCTTATTAGCTCTAATTCTTTCAAATCGTTAGATTGTTTCACTGTGTCGCTTATACTCTTTCCCGCTTCCGCGATTGAGCCGATGGCTTTCGCTCCGGTTGAAATGAGTTATTTGTTTTTTGAAATTGGAATTATTGTTTTACCTAGAGAAATAATGAAGAAAAGATACCGTGGCCCGAATAATCTTCGAATCTGTGTTGTTCGTGTTTTTAAATGAGTTTTAACGAATAAATTGTGTTTCCAAAAAGCGTTATCTCCCTTTTTTCTAGAAGTTTCTAGACTAAAAATAACATTATTTAAAACGAGGCTATTAAAAAATGTTGTTATTTTTATATAAGGGTATTTTTAATATGCTTTTTTGATGGAATGTAGGAAAGTGATTGAAGGTGTTTTATGGTGTATAGGGTGTAATAATTTATAGGGAGTTTAGGTCTTTTTTTAGTGTAAGAAGTTATGAAATGAAGGGTATTTTTTAGTGTAAGAATTTATGAAATGAAGGATGTTTTGACGTAAGAATTTATGAAATGTAGGGAGTTCAGGTCTTTTTTGGGAGCTTATATATTGGTCGCATTTTCCCCATGAAATGAAATGGAATGGGGAATCCTCGTGCGACCAATATATAAGCTCATACACTACTCCTACTTTGATCTTTGATGTCCGATATTTACTTCCGGTTTTGCAGTCGTCCGAAAACAGCAATTTTTTAAACTTCATATTACTTTTAGTTGACCTTTTGACCTGAACAAAAGTCGTTGCCCATAACGAGACATATCCGATAATATCTTCACTTTTGTTGTGCATCGTTAACTTCTGGTTTTACAGTCAATTAAAAATTGCGGATTTTTAACTTTGAAGAGCTCTGTCACGTGACCTAATTTACATACGTGAAATTTCTCTTAATGTCCTTAATACACGTAATCTATTCTTTCAAAATATAACACGTGGTATTTTGATTAAAATTGCGCTTTTTTAGACTTCTATAGTAACTGTGCGTAATTCTATAATCCACCGACAGTCACCGTTGACTATAACTATGTATATATATCTCATGATCAAATGATTGTAAAGACTTGACATTTTTGAAATTTTTTAACATTCTACACATCATAACAGACATACCAAAATTTTAAAGTGGGCGTGGCACATCCGGGTCTCATTAACCTTTGACTTTAAAATGCAACTTTTCACCGATGTATCAGCGCACTGCTTTGGTACCGTGGCACGACTCCAGTTGCAGTGCGTTCTTCGAACTTGAATTTGAAAATTTTGTACCGGCTTCTTTAGTAGCTGGTTTTTGCCGTATAAACTCAACAATTTTCAAAACTTGTAAGGCTCATATCCTTTGTTGACCTTTTGACCAGAACAAAAGTTGTGCCTTTGGCGAGATCTATCCACAGATGTTCCCATTTTTGTTGTGCATCGTTAACTTTTGGTTCTACACCCATTTGAAAATTCGGCTTTATACTACCGAATAATAACATCGTTTAGTGCCGAATAGTATCAAATTCATGCGTCTTTTCACTACCGAACGTTTATCAATTTTTTACTACCGAATGTCCACAAGCTTTTTTTTAATAAGAAATCTCACTGTGACTCAATGCAACATTTCACCGATATATCACATAGAACAGGCACTGCATTAGCACCGTCTACGATTCTAGTTTTTTTCCGATTCTGGTCAGAGCGCACAACCAAAACTGCATATGTCACACAATAAATGTCATCATTATCTGTCATAAAGTGTGTGTCGTTGTTGTTTAAATGTAAAATGACGCCTAACCTAACCGGCTAGGACGTAGCCAGTCATTATGACTTTCGAACCATCGCAGACAGTGGGGAGATACAAAGAGGGCAAGCGTTTTGGAAAAGGATATAATTCATGTGACGCATATCTAGCGATTCTCTAGGAACTATGACTACTAGCTGATTGTGTAAGAACTATGACTACCGATACTCTAGGAGCCCTAAAATATATTTACTGTTTGTGTAAGAGGGGAGATAACATTGAAGTGTATATCAGTATAGATGTAATTGTTTATGGTTAAATTTTCTGTATTAAAAATTAATTTTGTAAACAATTGCATTTATTAAAACCTAAAACTGCATTTCCATGGGGGTAAATGGTTTCGAAGAAGATTACATTATCATATCACCAACCGTAGGCTCTAGGTCTCAGCTAAATGATGGGGGTAGGGTCACTTTCGAGATTAATTCATTATCGAATTGGTTGCTTCTGTCTGATGCCTATTTCAGATGCGATTTCAAAATCAAAGACGGAACTCTAATGAGAATCGTGTACCACAAACCAACACAACGTTAGAAAACAATTTCTTCCCATCTTTATTTACTGAAATGGTTTTGGAAGCTGGTTCAAATCCCATAGAAACTATTAAACACCCTGGAGAATTTGACACAATGTTGAAAACAGTTCTATATCCCAAAAACTACGATTCAGTCTAAGGAAGGATACCCGATGTTGGTGATGGAAGTGTTTTAAAAGAACCGATAAGAAATGTTCCAAATAATGCAAATGAAGATAGAATGAGAGCTATTGCTCGAAACACAATAGAAAGAGTAGGACGAGCAGGTAATCATGGATTTGAAAAACGAGTACTTCACTACAATAATGTTGTTGAGAATAATAGGTGGGGTAATTACGTAAATTGGAAGTTATATCCTTTATTCGGTCTATTGGAATACAGAAAAGTTTCCATAGGGTTACCATATAAAATTCATCTACAAAGAGAAATTCTTTGGAGAGAATGCTTCAGATGCAAAATTAGAAATAACGAACCTCCAACTTTACATACCCGTAATAACACCATCAATTGAAGTAGAAACGAGAATATTAAACTCATTAACTAAAGATATTGAAATAGCTTTTCTTCGTCGTATCACAATAGGTAGCATGACTTTAATTGGAGAATCCACAACATGGCCAATCACTAACACTATTAAACTAGCAAGATATTTAATGGTTGGTTTCAAGAACTTACCCGAAGTTCACCTACTCCTAGTCCGGCAGACATAGGTAAACGTTCTCGTAGAGAAGGTACTCCTCTTCCCCTTCTACGCCATCTGAATCTTCACCGCGTGATCCAGAATCCACCAATCTTTCTTCCTTCTGTGCGTTTTTGGACCAGAAAACCAGCCCTCAGTCTCCATCCAAGTCGAGGCGTGTATCCAGACCCCCCCCCCCCCCTCGAACCAGATCCCAGTCCGTTCCCAATGCTACAATTCTAACAACTACCAAACCAGTACCAATCACCCCGTCGACAACCATTATATCCGCTTCCAAACCCTACATCACCAAACCAAGGACATTATGGGATCTATCTGCTCTAAAGAAATCTACCCTAATTATAGGATCATCTAACCTGAATCGAATTACCAAACCCAGTTCAGACACTGAAATACATGTGCCCAAATCATCACATACAGTCAATCCTGGAATCATACGACCATGATCCCAAACCTACTACCGTTATTCTCCATGTAGGCCTCAACAACCGTGATCAGCTACCAAGGGACCTCATTTAACCAAGCCCAAAAAAAAAATCCGTACAAAACCTTCCCAAACACCAAGATCCTCTTGACATGTATGCCCATCTCAAATAAAATCTCGAAGAAAGCACAACAGAACCCCAGCACCATCAACAACAGCGCAACAATCTTACCACCCTACGAAGAAGAATTCGTTGATAATCTTCATTGGTCTAAAGAAACAGCAAACAGTATTTATTTGTTTTGGATACACCAGCTTCAAGCATCGAGTAAGTCTTACTGGGGATAAAAATACTGAGAGGCCACCGCTAGGCCAAACTGAAGTTAACTTGAGCCGCAATATTCTCACACCCCTTCAGCATTGCATTGATTCTTAGACCGTTGTCTAAAATTTATTCCCACACCAAAGATAGCCAACTTGAATTATCCCCGACCATCCATTGAACGATTTCAACGAAATCTTAGCTGCACATAATTTTTTCCTTAAGTGGTGCTAGAACAATGTTTATTCCTAAATCCACGTAGACACCCCCTCAGGCCGCCATCCTTCCTGAAATATTGAAGGCATTTGCAAGTATGAATAGCCAAACAGCGAACCTTTCCATAACACACGAAAAGCCTAATCTCACAAGAGTGGAACGTGAAGCATTAACCTTACTTAAGAAAGATGATAGCATTGTTATTAAAAAGAGTGACAAAGGTTCATGTTGTGTCGTTCTGAATATGGAGGATTACGTTTCAGAAGCAGAGAATCAACTGAATAATCCTAAACATTATGCCATTTGACCGAAACCAATTTTCAAAGAAACTGCTAATATGATTAACAATATTCATGCCGATTTAGTCAAAACCAGTTATCTTTTCTGGTATAATTAAGTCACAAGTTTTACGATTTCATCGAATTTGCTCAAGATCTTCTGATTCCAATCAAGCCTGTACGATTGTTTTCTCAAAACTGAAAGAGTGTGGGTACTCTAAACTATTTTTTTACGAAACATAAAAAATTCCACCTTAGCAGCCAAAACAGGCTTTATGCAGAAGTAGTACCTCCAGGTTTAAGAAGTGCTCCATGTTTGTCCATCAGATGCAAAACATGCCCCTTTATATCAGAAACTCATTATTTTGTAAGCAACTCTACGAATAAAAGGTACCCGATCCAGGAACATCTAAAATGTGAACATTCGAATGTAATATATTTAATTTCATGCAAGAAAGGTCCGAAACAATAAGTAGGAGAAACTAAGAACAATTTACGAACTCGTTTTAATGCTCATAGGTCGGATATCAAATTAAAGAAAGACAAGTCTGTTTCTAATCATTTCAACCTTGACGACAATTCAATAGACGATCTCAGCCTAATCCCAATTGAGCGCTTAGAAACCGACTTGCCCGAAGATGAAACTACCAAATTTCGTCAATCTAGGGAAGCCCATTGGATTGAGACATTGAATACAGCAATACCTATAGGACTAAATATTCACCATAATGTAGGCATAGCACCTTTTGTTGTCCCGTTAACCAGCAATCGAGCAAGCAAGATAGTTCATGCCCACTATAAGAGTCTTCAAGAGAAATTCCCCTATGTCAATAAGCAGAAAATGATAGTTGCATATTCAAAAAATAAGAACTTAAATGATAATATTGTTCATAGCAAAATAAAAACAATCAGTACATAACAGCTACTATACTTCTCTATTTTCAGATCAGAATCAGAATAGAAGAAACCCCAATATCAAGACCCTTAATCCTAATTTCTTAATAAAGTGTCTACTCCACCCTAGGCCTGTACATTTGGGAGAATCAAACCCCCCTTCCCCGAAATCTATTACGTAAAAGCGTAAAAAACAAGGGCTATCACTCACACTAAATATTTTTCGATTTTTCTGATTTTCAATAGAGTTCATCCTGGGGTGATTACAAACATTCATACAAGTTTCGTCAAAATCTGTCAAGAATTGTTCCTTCCAGAGTGTCTACGAGCAATTGTGGACGGATCGACGGACGGACATGGATGACGACGGCCCAAGTAAGCAGGAATCGTAATGTCAAAAAGGCATAACCTCTCAGACCAGAGAATCGCCAATTCTTCTTCTTTCTCGCGAGTCCTCAATTCTGGATCACGTCAAAGAGATATATTAATCGGCCGATAAAATTTGCCGGATACGGACAGATGATCGAATTTGTCAGCGACTTTGCCAATCGGCTTAAAATATCGAACATTTTTTATTCCGGCGATTTGTACGGGCGAAAAAATTCACTGTCAACAAGATTTTTTCGAGCGATTTCAAAAATACGCCGCGATTTATTACCATTTACAGCCATATCGCAAAGATTATTTTTGGATAGTATCTCTCAGGTCTGATACTGCTGCTTCAAAAATCATCGGTTAAGTTTTTCGTATCTGGAAATATGCGCCGTTGTTCGCGCGAATGTTGACGCAGGCTTTCGGCTACACTGTTCGGTACCCGACCCTCGGAGGACTAAGGCGATCTTACAGACCCCCCAACCCCCACCCCCCAAGTAGGTTTTCGACGATGCAAAAATCTTTACGATGGACCAACAGAAATGATAGGGACCAAAACAATCATTTGGGAATGTCCCTCTAAGCAGCTTGAGATGTTCTATTTGGTCTGGACAGAGGACGATCGGACCGATCTGGAATGTTTCTTTGGGGACAATTTGGCCCAGATCAAAGCAATCCAAGGTGAAATGGTGGTATTAATGGCGATCTTGTATATTTTCACTGGATGTAAATTTAGTATTTTGAGCTAGTATATGAGGTTGTATATCTGTTTTAGTGGATCCTGTATACATACCCTAGTGAGGTGAATCTTTTATTTCAACCTAGTTGAGGTGCTCTTGCGTATTAACCTTAGTGTAATGGCCAATCTTGTATTTTGTCCTTAGAGCCGAATCTTATATTTGTAACCTAGTAAAAGATCTATACCTACCCTATTGTCGGACAGACCCTAGTGGTGAACTGTGCATAACTGTCCTAGTTACGGATCTTCTAAACTTACCCTATTGATAGATCATGAGTGATCTTGTATTTTTCCTCTGGAGATGATTCTCGTATTTTAAGTTGTTGATGGCGACACTTTTCTTTTATATTTTGATATGCACATCATCAATATTGTGATATATATTATATTTGTATGCTGTACAACATAATATATTGATATTATTAATTTGTTTATCTTATACTAGTATTTTATAGTTTGGAACTTTGTATTATGTGATGAATTAACATTAGCATTGGCTTTTTTCTGAATCCTTACTTATATTTAAGTACAAATTTATATGTTTATCAATGAATACAATATTGTTCGTATACTACCTATAAGCAAATTTACCTGAACTCCACAGTATCCATAAGGCCCCAGAAACCGTTCACATTCTTTTGCAACATCAGACCATTTCCATTCAAAAAGATGAGTGATGGCACTCCTACCCGAATCACAATGAGGGTCGCTAAACTGGGATGCATGTACTGTAAACAAAATAATGCATCATGTGATCTTTGATATGAACACACATTCAATTTGGAATTTGAATTTTTTGTTGGTTACTTTATTTGAAAACATTATAAGTTGAAAAATGTCATCATTTGTTTTTCTGGACGACCCGATATAAACAGATACAAACATTAGAAGTATATGAATCTATAGATTTAAATCCTTCCTCCATTACATTACACGAGTTATATCTGAAGGCTTTTAATCTATAGATTCACACGATCCACCTACTACCTTCATACTAATAGTCTAAAAAATACGAAAAAATAGCGATGCCATCGTAATACGCCCACATTTGTTATGGCAGCTAATTTGTCCGGGAGGTTGACAAGAGTTATCAGTAAATGAATGTTTCTGAGAGTGAAATTTTCATGGGTTTTCTTTACAGTTTACAATCAAAAACAAGGGCATTAACCCATAGTAAATTTTTCGATTCGTCTGATTTTCAATAGGGTTCATCCTTGGGTGAATACAAACACTCATACCAAGTTTCGTCAAAATCCATCAAGAAACCAGCTCTCTTTCGTGTCCACAAACAATTCAAGAACAAGGGCAATAACTCATAGCAAATATTTTTCGATTCGTCTGATTTTCAATAGGGTTCATCCTTGGGTGATTACAAACACTCACACCAAGTTTCGTCAAAAAACATCAAGAAACCAGCTCTCTACCGTGTCCACAAACAATTCAAGAACAAGGGCAATACCTCTTAGTAAATATTCTTCGATTCGTCTGATTTTCAATAGGATTCATCCTTGGGTGATTACAAACACTCACACCAAGTTCCGTCAAAATCCATCAAGAATCCAGCTCTCTATCGTATCCACAAACAATTCAAGAATAAGGGCAATAACTCATAGTAAATACTTTTAGATTCGTCTGATTATCAATAGGCTTCATCCTTGGGTGATTACAAACACTCACACCAAGTTTCGTCAAAATCCATCAAGAAACCAGCTCTCTATCGTGTCCACATACAATTCAAGAACAAGGGCAATAACTCATAGTAAATATTTTTCGATTCGTCTGATTTTCAATAGGGTTCATCCTTGGGTGATTACAAACACTCACACCAAGTTTCGTCAAAATCCATCAAGAATCCATTTCTCTATCGTGTCCACAAACAATTCAAGAACAAGGGCAACAACTCATAGTAAATATTTTTCGATTCGTCTGATTTTCAATAGGGTTCATCCTTGGGTGATTACAAACACTCACACCATGTTCGTCAAAATCTACTAAGAAACCAGCTCTCTATCGTATCCACAAACAATTCAAGAACAAGGGCAATAACTCATATTAAATACTTTTAGATTCGTCTGATTTTCAATAGGGCTCATCCTTGGGTGATTACAAACACTCACACCAAGTTGCGTCAAAATCCATCAAGAAACCAGCTCTCTATCGTGTCCACAAACAATTAAAGAACAAGGGCAATAACTCATAGTAAATATTTTTCGATTCGTCTGATTTTCAATAGATTTCATCCTTGGGTGATTACAAACACTCACACCAAGTTCGTCAAAATCCATCAAGAAACCAGCTCTCTATCGTGTCCACACACTATCGTGTCCACAAACAATTCAAGAACAAGGGCAACAACTCATAGTAAATGTTTTTCGATTTGTCTAATTTTCAATAGGGTTCATCCTTATGTGATTACAAACACGCACACCAAGTTTCGTCAAAATCCATCAAGAAACCAGCTCTCTATCGTGTCCACACACTATCGTGTCCACAAACAATTCAAGAACAAGGGCAATAAATCATAGTAAATATTTTTCGATTCGTCTGATTTTCAATAGGGTTCATTCTTGGGTGAATGCAAACACTCACACCAAGTTTCATCAAAATCCATCAATAAACCAGCTCTCTATCGTGTCCACAAACAATTCAAGAACAAGGGCAATACCTCAAAGTAAATATTTTTCGATTCGTCTGATTTTTAATAGGGTTCGTTCTTGGGTAATTACAAACACTCTCACCAAGTTTCGTCAAAATCCACCAAGAAACCAGCTCTCTATCGTGTCCACACACTATCGTGTCCACAAACAGTTCAAGAACAAGGGCAATAACTCATAGTAAATATTTTTCGATTCGTCTGATTTTCGAAAGAATTCATCCTTGGGTGATTGCAAACACACGCACCAAGTTTCATCAAAATCCATTAAGAAACCAGCTCTCTATCGTGTCCACAAACAATTCAAGAACAAGGACAATAACACATAGTAAATATTTTTCGATTCGTCTGATTATTAATAGGGTTCGTCCTTGGGTGATTCATACACTCACACCGAGTTTCGTCAAAATCCATCAAGAAACTAGCTCTCTATCGTGTCCACAAACAATTGTGGACAGACAGACAGACAGACAGGGGCGACGACTATATACGCCCACATTAATGTGATTCGTCTGATTTTTAAAAGGGTTCACCCTTGGGTGATTGCAAACACTCACACCAAGTTTCATCAAAATCCATCAAGAAACCAGCTATCTATCGTGTCCACAAACAATTCAAGAACAAGGGCAATAAAACATAGTAAATATTTTTCGATTCGTCTGATTATTAATAGGGTTCGTCCTTGGGTGATAACAAACACTCACACCGAGTTTCGTCAAAATCCATTAAGAAACTAGCTCTATCGTGTCCACAAACAATTGTGGACAGACAGGGGCGACGACTGTATACGCCCACATTAATGTGTGGGCGTATAAAAAGACATACACTAATGCCTTCAAATCATATATTAAAAATAATCCCATTTAAAAATAGGAAGAGTAATATAGGGGATTGGTCTAATCATAGAAACATCTCATCTTATTTTATAGGAAAGAACTTTCTATTGGTCAATGAAAAATAGGGATTGATCTATAATTGTACCAGTACCAAAACACTGAAAACCCATATTCTCTATTAAAATAACCCGTTTAAAAACAGGATGTTTAATTTTAAAAAATTACATCAGCATCAATGATGACAATTCACGTGATAATAGTAAAACATTTAGGAAATCGATGACTTTTTAGGACAGGAGAAGGTGTAATTGCGTAATAGATTACAAATAATAATAGCAGGTCATCGATCAGACAGATAATATAATGAAGTAAATTGCACATTAAAAAGACTCATAGAGAAAAAGATCATCAATAAAAATGATTATAAAAATGTTATGAAAAATATCCAATAAAAATGACAAATAAAGAACAATTATTCGTTATCGTTATAATCTCAAATAAATCACATTAAATTATCTCTAGAATATGAGTATGAACTTGATCGCAATCAAAAATATGAATTGGGATTAAGTATTTCTCTGTTTAAATATCTCTACTTTGTAATTTGTAGATTTACTTGTTGATTTTAGAAAGGTGTATTTAGTAATTGTGTAATGTGGAAATATGATTTTTTAAAGTCGACGCCTTATTTTCAAGTTTAAATTTGGGAATACTTTTGGCAACGAGCCCCCTCCATAATAAACAATGTTGAATTAGAAGTTAATTTGAATCTGAACAAAATAAAATTGATATGAAGAACTAATAGTCAAGTTGATATCAATGTGGAAAATCCATTAAATACTGTACTAGGCTTTGATAAACAAATTTACAGGGAATCAACATTAGCACCACACAAGGCTAATATCGAGAATGATATTGATGTCATTAATATAAAATAATTCTTTCGATTTTGTAATGTAGAGATTCTCAGCTTTCCATAGATATATAACATGCATACCATACATGCAAATTCAAAACTCCATTCACTTTACATGGGGTTATTATTAGATAAATCGGCTAATTAGATTAACCTGGCTGTCAACCCCAACAGAAATCAAATTTTAAGTTGTTTTAAAGACACCCTCCCTTTTATATTTCTTAAAAATGATCTTTGTCCAGTTATGGTATAAAATTAAGCTCTCGGGTGGATTGAATCATGTCATATTGTAGTTTAAGCTCACTGCAGCTTATTGAAGGTATACCTCCACTTTTGATGGAATTATCGAATTTGCGTAGTGCGCATGCGCATTGCCAACTTTCTTATTTACTATCCGATTTTCATCAAACTTGGTATGTATGTGTATAGTCAAATTCTAAATTTGATGGGATTATCGAATTTGAGTAGTGCGCACGCGCATTACCAACTTTCTTATTTCTTATCCGATTTTCACCATTTTCTTGTAAATATTCATCCTTTTCGTAATATTTAAATATGTCTTGAATGTACTCTTTTGGTAGATAGTCTAAGGTTTTAAGTAGTTGATAGTAGGATTGCTGTGGCGCGGTATCGTAAATGTAGAGTGATTCATATTCTAAAAGATCGGGCTTTGTTATCATTTTAAAAGTTAAATAAGTATAACAATTACCTGAAGATCCACAAACACACATAAGTAGTGGGTTGTTTGGGAATATTTCTAAATGTTTGAATTTCTTTCCCATTTTTATTAACTTATTTTTGTTCCAAAAATAACTCCTCCTTTACACTTTGAAAGAAATATTCCTTCTCCATCGTATATATTTTTTAAAAATATTCAATTACCCTTATGTTTGACTTTCATTTCTCCAGTGTCGATTTTGTCTTCCACATTTTTCTTGATTTCTTGACTAAATCGATGTCCAAATTCTTTTACTGTGCCTTATATATCTGCTACACCTGAACCTCGTGCTTCCTTTTCCATTGCTAAATTATGTCTGCGTTCCTCGGTGGTTTTAGCATCAGCTACTTTCTTTGCGTTGGTAGCTTTGACTGCGGCAGATATCCCATCAGTTGCTGCACCAGCCGCGGTACAATTCTTTCTAAATCTATTTCATCTCTGACTTTACAATATTTGTATTTATCAATAAGTTTTTTTGTTATGTTGTTTTTTTTTACCATTGAATGTTATTACAGTTGGTGAAGCTGTTTCAGTGGATTCTATTATATTTTTAGCTAAAGTTTCTGGCTTCATTTTTTAAGGGTATGATTTTTACTCAATTCTTATCATTCTTCTATCTGC